GCGAGCGCTCGCGCGGCACTGTGCGTGGGCGGGCATGAGCCGCCGCCGCCATTCGCTGCGCCTCCGCGCGGAAGACCGCCTCCGCCGCCGTCGTCGTCGCTGTCGGGGCAGGGGCAGGGAGGCTCTTTCCCCTCCTCCCCCTCCTCCCCCCCTCCCCTTTCCTCCTCCTCCTCCTCCTCCTCCTCCTCCTCCTCCTCCTCCTCCTCCTCCTCCTCCTCCTCCTCCCCCCCCTGGGAAGGGCCCCCGCGGGAAAGCAATGGCCACCGGGGCGCCCGCGGAATGAGAAAGCCAAGCGTAGATGGCCTCCCCCTCCCCTTCCACCCCCCTTCCCCCCCCCCCCCCCATTCTTGCCCCCCCCCCCCCCCCCCCCCCCCTCCCCCACTCTCCCTGGGAAGGGCCTCCCTGGGATAGCCGAGAACCCCGAGGTGCCCGCGCAATGAAAAAGTAGCCAGATCGTCGAAGGTCTGGGGAGGAGGAAGGGGGAAAAAAGGAGGTCGAGGTGGAAGAGAAGGCGGAGGAAGGGGAAGGAGGAGGGAGGGGGGACGCGAAGGAGGGGAAATAGGAGGGGTGGGGGGAGGAAAAAGGGACGGTGGAGGAGAGGGAGGAGGGGGGGCGGAGGAGGCGGAGGAGGATTGATTGCGCGGGCGCCCCGGGGGTTTCGGCTTTTCCCGGCGGGGAGTGGCCGCGTCTCTTGCCCTGGCTCGCATATTCGGCCCTGGCGGCAGGTCGTTGCCGCCGCCGCCGCCGTCTTCCGTCGTCGTTGTCGACGCCGCCGCCGCCGCCGCCGCCGCCTCCGCCGTCGTCGTCGTCGTCGTCGTCGTTGTCGTCGTCGTCGTCGTCGTGGTCGTCGTCGAGACTGAGGACAGTGATGATCGTGGTGGCGGGGATGGCTCTGATGATGAGGAAGCGGAGGAGGGGGGGGGAGGAGGGGGGGGGGGGGGGGGGCAGGATGAGGAGGGGGAGAAAGGTGAGGGAACAGCAGGAAGTAGAGGAAGAGGATGGGAGGAGGGGGGGGGGGGGGGAGAAGGAGGATGAAGCAGTGAGATGGGGGGATGCGGAGGAGGAGAAAGAGGGCGGAGCGGGAGTGGAGAGGTGAAGAGGAGGGAGGATGAAGAGGAGGAGGAAAGAAGGAGGAGGCGGAGTAGGAGGAAGTGGAGGGGAGAAAGAAGGAGCGGCGACGGCCCCGCCGCCCCCTCCTCCTCCTCCCCCTCGCCCCCGCCCTTCCCCTTCCACGATTTTTCAATGTGAGTGCTGCTCTCCTCTCTCCCCTGAGCACGGATGGGAAGCGTCCGCCCCCCCCCGCGGCCTGTCTGTTTGCGCGCAGGATTCTCGTGGGTTGTTTTTTCGCTTGCATTTTTCTAACTGCTGCCCCCGCTGTGGCGCTCGCCTCATTTTCGCGCTTCCGCTCCTTCCGACTCGTGTTCCAGCTGCAGCGCGGGTCTCGTCTACAAACGCGTAATATCAATATCAACGCAGTTCTCTTTTCCCCCCCTGAGAACGGCTTGGGGGGGGGGGGGGGGGGTGGTGAAAGGAAGGGGGGGATGAAGGGCGACGACGACGATCGGGGGGCACGCGATGAGGAGCAACTGGTGGGATACGGGGAATAAGATGAGGAAGAGAGGGGGGAGGGGGGGGGGGGGGGGGCAGCGAGGAGAACGAACCGCGACGACAAGACGCGGGCGGGGGCGTTCAGCACTCGCCGCACGCCGCGCTGCACGCTCGAGTAGCCTTGGGCGGCCTCAAGGCTACAGCGGGCCCCCCTCCTGCGGGCCCTCGCCGGGGGGCCGCGGGGGCGCGGGGCGCTGCAATGGGGGGTTTTACCGGTTGCACCCGAAGCAACCAAGGGCTTTACCGGTTGTGCCTTAACGACCAAGGGCTTTTCCGGTTGGGCCGTAACCAACCAAGAGGTCACTCCAGTAGCCTGAAGCTGGAACCCCGAGCAGGGAAGGGCCACCCCAGTAGCCAGAAGCTGGGCCCCCGAGAGGGGTGTGTCGTGGCGCGGCCCTCCGGGGCTGCGCCGCGTCACTGCGTTAATCTTGGAGTGAGCGGGTGTTCGCGGTGTCAGCCCCGCGGCGCACCGCCTCTGGATCGACGTGCTGGAAGGGGGAAACTATCGCCAATTTTCCTCGAGGGGTTTCCTGCGAACGGCAAAAGTGGGGGAGTGTCGCGGGTCATGCATGACACTTTCCCTGTGCGGGATAGAAGGGGGAAGCTATCGCGATTTTTGTGTCAGGGGCGTCGTCGGGATCGTCGACGTGGCCCACGATCGCGAGTGCGCGGGGGCAGGCCCTGGCACGCGGACGATAGAAGGGGGGAACTATCGGGGCATTTTTGCCAGGGCGCGCGGGGTCGTTGGCGGGGGCGGCATGCGCGGCAGAAGAGAGAGGTCGCGGGGCATTCCAGGCGGCGTGCGCCACGGTGGACACGACAGGGCCGTCAGTGTAGGCGCGCTGTCAGGCGCTCGCATCGCGGGGTCGTCGGCGTCCGCTGTCGGAGAAGTGCGCGCCATGTGGAATGCTGCCGCCGTGCTTCTTGCAATGCGCAGCGGAAGCGCTTTTCTTCGAGTGCTCCGGGTGGTGCTTGCGGAACGGTTCGAGGTGATGGTATCTGCCGGTGTTTCTCGGTTGAAGCTGCCCGCTGTCGCGCTGCTCGGCGTCGTCGTCAACGGAGCGGCGCTGTGAACTGCCGTCGTCTTTCTGGCTTTGCGCGTCATGGACGTCATAGTGTCGCTAGGAAAGGACGCAGCGTCTGTGACTGTCGGAACCCCGCAGCGCGGGCGGGCGATGCGCGGAAGCGAGGCACGTGCACGACGGTGATGAAATCACCAGGTCGGAACCTTTCGGCACGAAGGCAGACAGCGCGCGTCGTCGACGCTTCGTTCTTCGACGTGTTGCGCACGATCCTTTTTGTTGGGCTCGGGTATGCTTCGAATGCGTCGGGGTTTCGACGTGTCGCGACGTGGGTGTCGGGCCGCGAAGCACGCAGTGTGGGGCGCGCCCGCGCAGCTCGCGTGCGTCTGTCGCCAGGGTGTGGCGTGGGCAGAAAGGTGCGTCGGCACGGTGGGGGTAGCGACGAGTGTGGCGAGGGCGTCGCGACATGCGCAAGGAGCTGTGGTATGCCCTTCGAGACAATTGGTGATGGAATGCTCTTGGTGATTGTCGCGTGGGCGGCATATGCGACGTGCGCGCCGCCTACCTCTGTGGCGACCTTGGCGGCAGACGACGCAACCGTGGGGCCCTGGGAGAACAAGTGCTTGCAAGATGCGGTAGCGCGTATGCAGCGCGGTCGATGGCGCCGAGAAGCTCTGAGTTTTTTTTGGGAGAGAATGCGCCGATCATACATGGTCCGGTGTGGGCGGGGCGGGGCGGGTGGAAGAACAGAACGTGGGCGCGGTCCAGCGGTGGTCGTGCCAGCAAAGGGCTTTCGCGCGGGTGTGCGAAGCCGAAAACGTCGCGGATCTTCTGGATGAGGGGGCCCTTTGGGGGCGGCGGTTAGGTGATGCGGATGGACGCTGCGTCGGGTCGGCCGTTCGGTTATCTGAAGGACATGTAGTTCGCGTCGCACGTGGGCGCGGTTCGTTGACAGGGGTGGAGGGGGATCCGGTGCAGGCCCCGTGGCGACGTTACGCGGCTGGCGCCACTCGTGGCAGCAAAAACGCGGCGCCGGCGGCAAGGAGCAGCGCGAGCGCGAGTGCCGACCGAGTCGACAGAGACGGGCTACAAATCCAGGCAGGCGGCGGCCGCTGCCGAGGCGCGTCGGAAAGCTGAGAGAGATCGCGGCCTCGGACCCGATGCGGCGGCTCAGCTTGAGCAGCAATCAGCAGCGTGTGCCTCCTCGCGCCCGGGCGAGAGCGCTGAAATCTTTGGATGCCGAAGTCGCGAGAAGCTGCGCCGGGACCTGAAGAGAAGTCGCAGCGCCGAGGGGGATCCCGAGTTCGTACCAGGTGCTGCGCGCGAGGCAATAAAAAACATCGGGGGCAGTGTCCGCAGACGCTGTGGCCGCGAAAGACCCGAGCGAGAGCGCCATGACGCACCTCGCGTGCCCGCTTCCACCGGAGGTGGATCTAGGAGAGATGCTATACGGGAAGCCAGCAAGAGAGATATGCTCGGAGGGCGCGTGAAAGTGCGATCGTCTACGTATCAGAGGGATGCCGAATATCGGAAACTCGTGTTTCGCGAACGCCGTACTCCAAGTGTTGCTACGACTCGGTCCCATTCGGCAAGCAGTGTGTCGCCACAGGGACGCGTGCACCGTGCGGTCGGCAACGCGGTGCGGCGTGTGTGCTTTGGCCGAGCAGGCAACCCTGATGAACTCAACCATGGCGGAGCTCCCGACCACCGAGCGAGAACAAGTGCCGGCAGTGACAGCAACGCGGTCTGGACTTTTTCAGCACGGCCGCCACAATGACTTCCGAGGTAATCGGCAGTGCGATGCGAGCGAGCTTTGGAGTGCCATGGTGGAGACAATATGTCGTGCGGAGTCCGCAGCGTTGAGTAGAATGGCAGCGCAACCGCCTCGGGATTCGTTCGTAGACGAGTGTGTGCTCGGGTACGCAGTGTGTCAAAGACGGCATTGCGCGGGATGCGGTTGGGTCTCGGACCTTTATAGACGACAGCGGTTCATGACAATTCAGTTGTGGGGGCACGCGCAGGGTGCAGAGCCGTTGTGCCTCGGGGCGTTGGTAGGTTTGCACGCGCGCGCCGCGCAGTATGGTTTGCCGTGTCCTCATCGACCGGCGTTGCCGGAGGGCGAAGTGTGGGGCGGTTGCCACGGCCCGTCGCAAACACACGACATCCCTGCGGTTTCGCCGCCGCCGTTTCTGACAGTAGTTCTCAGTAGAAAGATGGCTCAGGGAATGGACAGGGTGAATGCTCGCGTGAAGATCCCCCAAGAGATGGGATGGCCAGGCAATGACAGCATCAAGAACCGGTTCCAGGGTGCAATTTGTCATCTCGACCGTGAAAACTATTATGTTGCGTGCTTTGATTGCCCTGGGACAGGTGTTGTCAGGTTCAACGACGGGCAGGCTTCTCGAGTGGGGTTCGCGGCATTCTCGGGCTGTGAGAGAAACCAGGTGGACGTGGCCGTCGTTGTTCTGGCGCGGGCTGGCCGCGGTCAGAGCAGGGACACAGAAGGCCGCGAGAGCGCAACGGCGAACCCGTGTACGGCGTCCACCGCGAAAGCCAACATACAGAAGCCCATTATGGAGGGCGTGACCGCCAAGCCAGGTCGTGACCTAGCACTGCGTATCCTTCCGGGAGATCTCTTGGCACCGGTGCGCGTCATCCGAGAGTCTGATGGGCGCGCATTGCGCTTCCTGCGGACTGCGTGTGAAGAGCCCGAAGTGCGGGAGACTTCGGAGTTGGATTTCGCGCCCAAAGAGCTGCACGCGCATCTTTGGAGAGCGCGGGGGGAAACGGCCCCAATGCTGCGGGTCATGAAAGAGGAGTGGGTTCGTGAGTGGGGAGGGTGGAGTGTCGCGCAGAAGGAGCTGCTGAGTGCCCACGCCGTGGAAGATCGGTGCCGCGTGATGGAGGACCGCACGGTGAAATTCATAGAGTTTCTGATGCGGGCGGTGATATTCAATGCAAAGACCGACGAAGAACGGGCCGAAGAAATTGCCGAAACAGGCCGTCGTGTGGGTTCCGGTCTCGGACACGGAGTTGGCGCGTCCCGGGGATGGTGTGATCAGGCATTGGCGACAGAGGAGGGGCGCCGTGTCGCGTGCGACGCATGCGTTGATCATCTGCGGAACGTCGGAGACGCATGGTTGGCGTTGGGGCCACATGAGGGTGAACTCCGACACGGCGTCCATGCAGGTGAGATCATGAGATTCGCGTTGTCACGGTGCCGGGCGGCGGGGGTAGCGCTGGCCGACAAGATCATCGTCCGCACGTACTCCCGCTTTGACGGGCTCCTGTGGGCGCACGGAGAGGGCGATTCCATTTCGTTTACTCGAGCGGAGCTCGAGGGGAAAAGGCCAGCTCTCGGTGTATGGCCGTGCGTCGAGCATGTGCGCGCTGAGGGCGAAATTGCCATGCTCGAGGTATGCAATCACACTGGGGCCGACATTGCGAACGCGACGTACAAACCAGCATGGCCAATCGCGGGAATAGCTTCGCCGACGGCCGCGCCGTGGATGATGCGCGCTAACTCTCGAAACGGAGCCGTGGGTTGTGGCCAGATGACCGAGGGCAACGATGCCGACACGAGAGCCAAGCGCCCGCGGATTACGGGGAAGACGAAGGCACGTGACCCCGCAGCGCCGGGGGCCGGCGGCCCCACCGACTCGGGCGGCACACCGGTGGCATCGAGCGCCGTCACGGGCATCAGCGCGGCACAGGAGGATGACGGCGAGGTCCATGCAAACGCGCCAGGCCACGTGTATCGGGCACGCGCTGCAAACATGTCTGACGACCCGCGACGGAAAAGGGAGATTTGGACAGGGTCGCGAAGGAGCACCTAAATGATGCACCGACGCTGCCTGCCGTCTCGATGAATGGGTCTGCCGTGGGTGACGGAGTCCAGGAAGCTGTCGGAGCAGTAGGCCTGCCGAGGAAACGCTGCGCTTTCAAACGCCGGATGCAGGACGGGTGGAAGCCTTGCCAATGGCATGGAGATTCGGATTCAGATCTGTGCGCGCACCTGCTGCAGGAGCATCGGGCGCAGCTCGAGGATGTCGTAACCTCGCTGGTTTGCGTTTCTGCTGAGGAAGAGAAGAGCGAAGAGTTGCGTTACCTGTCTGCGTGCAACGAGGTCGTGGCATGGAAGGTCCGTCAAGGAGCTCCTCTCGCCGCGCTTGCCATTGACTGGCGATGTCTCCGTGCATATGCAGAGGCGCTGGGGGACGAGACAGATGTTCTCTTGCATGCATGGTGTGTGCGCGGAAATTTCCTCACGTGGAAGGGCGCCGGGGGAATCCAATCGCTTGGCAGAAGGTGTCGCCAGATTTGGATGGCATCTTCGGACTGCCTGGCTCGTTCGTCAGAAAGCACTTGTCCGTAGACAGTTATGTGGATCGATATGGTCAGGTCGGGGGTGGCGTGCATCTACGGGATCACGCGAAGGAGTTTGAAGACTGGCAAGCAACGATCGCATCGGTCGATGGGCCCCTGAAGGTGTTGTGTTGCCCCGAGGACCTGTGCTGCAGCGCGAAATCCTGGCGCGAAGGGGGCGAGGTTTGCAATCGATGCGAGGCGCCGCTGTGCGAGCAATGCCGAACGGGTATGTCTGGCCCGAGAGGCGAGGCGGTCGTGCCCCCTGCAGCTCTCGCTGATGACATGATGACGTTCTACTCGCCGGAAGAGCTATTCGTAGGAAGAGCAACCTTGCTGGATATGATTTGCGCGTCCGTGTGCGTGACCTCGATGGTGTGTTTCACGCTGGAGAAGCGGTATCGGAACGAACGGTCCTTTGACATGGGGGCGGGGAACCACGCGCATCGGATGGCTGCTCGTGGGAACGCGACGTCCTTCCCGATGCCGTGGACGGACATGCTCGCGCAGCTGACCGCCTTGGAGGAAGGGGCGTCGAAGGCAAGGCCGCCGTCGTTGCCGCGGACAGGCGCCGAACTGGCAGACATAGTGTCGGTGATATTGAAGTCCGGAGGTGACGACGATATGGCAGCGAGCATGGCGAAGTTCGTGCATCAGGCATTGGTCCGTCGGGATGTGGTCGTGAAGCTGATCGAGGGGGGCGAAAATGCGCGGGCACCGAGCGTATCAGCACGTTTGCATGGAAGAGGTGCGAAAAAACAAGCTGCGGAGCTTCCTGATGGTGAGGTGCCGCCCGAGATCATGCGTTTGGTTTCTTTGGGCAACGCGCTGGACAATATGCAGATGCAGAAGGCGGGGGCGCCAGTTCCGCGCCCGGATGGGTTGCAGGAAGCGGCGGAGATCTTGGAAGCGACGAAAGGCAACGCCGTGGTCCTCGAGAAGAGCAGCTTCGATGACGGGGATATCAATGCCCAGCGCGTGGAAGCCTGACGAAGTGTTTTACAGAGGGTGTCGCCAGAATGCGAACAAGATGGAACCAGCGAGCGCACGGATGATAGCGAGAGTGAGTCGGGGCATGAAGGTCCCCGAGCGAAGCGTCCGCGCGAAGGCGGGCGAGGAGAAGAACCCGACGACGCGCCGGTGAAGGAGAGGGAATAGGTGCGATTGGTGACGGAGGCGCTGGAGATGAACGAACGAGTAAATCGTTTGCGGGTCTGTACGGGGAACACAATGATGGATCAATTCGAGCCGTGGTATTTCGGCGTGGCGTTTGCGTTCGTTCTCAAGTATTGTACAGGCATGCCCGACATGCCAGCTTTCTTGAAGCGTCCGCGGTATCGGTGTTCGGAAGAGGCACCGCGGGTGGAACTGCCGCTGTGGGCTCGCATCATGAGTCGTCGCGTAGAGAGCCAGTTGTCGCGCGATTGGCATTTCGGGTTCGTGTCGTGGAACTTGGTATTTCGTTCGGCGGTGAACCTGAGCAAGACGTGGTTTACGTACGTCTCCGCGAACCCTAAGGACGTGGACGCGCAAATCACGCCCGAGGGGATCAGCGTAGGGGCGCAGCAGATCTACCGTGCGTTGGCGGGGAAATACCAGGACGTGAACGGTGAGAAGCAGAACGTCATGGGAGACATGACGAAAGTGCGCTACGTCCCGGGACTCGGCAGAGCTGCCCACAAGTTGCTCGCGAACATCGAGCACACGTCTCGACGGCTACCAGGGACGCAGGAGACGCCATGGGTCATGCGGTTCCAAACCAACGCGCTCCGCGTACGGTATGGTGTACCGATTTTCGTGACCTTCTCTCCCAACGAAGGGCACAATCTCATCATGGTACGGTTGTCGCGCACGCGTCGTCGTGACCCCGTCCACAATGCGGAGAGCGACGCAGGTGCATCGCGGGCAGTTGGTAGTCGGGAGTGGCCGCAGGTCGCTCCAGGAACGGATGACGTGCGCCTGGAACTACCGCTGGCGGCGATATTGTCGCAAGTGCCTACGCAGGAAGGTACTCGCTCGGGATCCGATGGCGAGCGTTGAAGGCTTTCGTTTGATCGTGGACGCGACGATGCGGCATCTTTTCGGAGTGCGCACGTGTCCGAACTGCCCCCGATGCAACCATAGTGAGCGGATGTCGCCGTGCCAGGACTTGTTCGGTAGTAACGCCGCGCCGGAAGGTGGGGTGTTCGGCAGGGTGGACGCGTGCTATGTCTCCATCGAAGCACAAAAGTCGACGGGCGCGCTCCATGCGCACTGTCAGGTGTTCGTGCAGTGTCTGCACCAACGCGCGCCGCTGGACAAAATCTTCGAACTCGTCCGGGGCAATGCGGACGGATGTGGAGAAGCGTTTGTAAAAGAGTCGTTGGAGTGCAAGCGCTGGGTTTGCCGACAGGAGCACTCAGCGCGCGTCGCCCCAGCAGGTCTGCAGAAGAATCTGGCAGGAGCGGAGGCCGCGTGGCCAGAGTGCAAGACTGAGGGCGGGCTGGTGTGCCGTCAGACGTATCAGATCAGCAGGGCGGGACATGGAGTGACGCAACAGGAAGAGGCGGAGGAAGCGTGCGCGTGGGAGAGGAGGTACCTCAACGAGGATGTGCAGTACCTTCAAGAGCGGAAGCAGCACCACGTGCATCTGGAGAATCCAGAGACGGGGGAGAGGGTGCCCTTGCCAGCGTGCCGTCGGAAGGACAACCAGAAACTCTGCAAGGCCGATTTTCCACGAACGGCGCAGCTCATCGACCGTGCAGTCGTGATCTGCCCAGGGCTGGCGACGGAGCTGGATATGCCGAAGGCAGGCAGGCGGAACCGCGTCGGGAGTTTGCATGGGCCCATGAACCATGAGAGTCTGAATGGGGCACGCCCATGCATGCTTGCCGCGCAGCGTTTCAATTCGGACGCGAGAGCTGCACGTGCGGCAAAGGGTGTGCGGAGAAGCAGAACGACGCAGCCATCATCAAGGTGGTCCAGATGGCTCAGGACGCCCAAGCAGGGTATGCGTGCGATTACTGCACGAAGCGGCAACCCATGGCCTTCCATGATGTCCGAGAGTGCTCCCGGGGAATCGAGAAGCTCAGCCGACAGCTGCGCGGGGAGCGTCGGGAAGCGGATGGCGACGCGCATCATGAGCGACGCCTACGGGAAAGGCATCTTTCGCGGCCAGGTGGAGTGTGCGAATCTTCGAGCGTATTCCATGGAAAACGATGTGACGTCGGCAGAGTCGATCAAGACCTGTGAGACGACCAGATTCTATGGACGCGAGTACGTTGAGACGGTTGAGAGGCTGTCCGACGGCACAACAGGAGGGCGCAAAGCGCAGTTCGCGGAGGTGGATATGCGAAACCCGAGGCGCCGGAAAGTCACAATCAGGGATGTGACCATGTTGTGCGGACTTCGCCCGAACCGGGGTGGCCTGTGGCACTTGTCGCCGTGCGAATTCGTGACGTATTGGAGGCCCGTGCTAGTGGCGTACCCCACCAGTTTAAGAAACGCCAAAGCCGATCGGGACAAGCACCACGCGTTCTGGACAGCGAGAGGGAAGCAGAAAATGGAGGAGTGGGGTCGGAAGCAGGAGCAGGCAGAAGAGCTAGAGCCTGGGGTGGGCTACATGGTGAAGGGCGACGCAGGAAAAGATTGGGTGGCCTTTCCAGACACTGACGGATGCCGGCATCTGCGGCACACGTGGGTTCTTGTCAGGAACAAGAGGCCGTTGGCGCCAACCTTTTTCGGGGCTCCCGTGCCTCGCAGCCGATGTGGAGAAGCTGAGCGATCCGCGCGGATAGTCATGTCTTACTTCCACCCGTGGACACTTCGACAGTCAGAGGCAGACGATCACGTGGTGTTCGCTGGCGGACTGCGGCGGGGCTCGAAAACATGGGAGGGCGCCATTGTGTCGTGGCTAGACGGCGGGGCGCAGTCGGAAGAGGCTGCGCGGCACGCGGGCAATTTCCTCAGCGTGTATCGCGTGCGCCCGAGGGATGCGGAGCAGGAGGGCGCGCGGAGTGATGAGGACGTGAGCGACGAAGAATTGGAGGTGGGCTTTGACCAGCTGGACGAGGCTCTGAAGTCGCGCGTCGGTGGTCGGAGGCGGGACGACGGGGACGGTGACAGCAGTAGTGAAGAAGAAGACGGTGGGGCGGAGGGTGGTCTGGGTGGATGTTCCCATTACCAGAACTCGAAAGCAGGCATGGCCGTTGCCCAGGAAGTGTGGGGCCAGCGCCCGAGTGAAAAGTCGCTCGGGGAAGTCCGGAACGCGTGGCCGAGAGCCGTCAGCTGTGATCTGGAGGCCGTGCAGACCGCAGCAAGGGCGTCTGGGGGCAAGGAAAAATCTATGGCCGACAGAGTGGCGGCGGAAGAAGGAAGTGGGAAG